TGAGGGTGAGCCGAGGGAGAGGAGAGAGAGAGGGAGAGAGTGAGAGCACACACACACACTCACTCACTCGACACGACGGACTCGGACTGAGGGTTGGACGCAGACACAGTGGCAAGGCACAAAGTCGAAGTCTTGGATTCCCAATGCCGAAACGGCAAGTCACACTGAGTACAAGTACAGCAGCAGAGAACTGGTACGAGACTGGTCCCCATACCGTATGGGGAGCCGGTATAAGTACCAGTGACACGTACGGTACCAGGGGCATTTCTGTAAAGGCCCCGAGGGCAGAACTGAAAAATGCAGTATTTGAAAGTGGCGCCCGAATTGCAGCATGGCGCCAGTTGTCCAAAATCCTACGGTACCAAAGGAGGGGTTTGGAAAAAGGGTGCCAGGCCGAAAACGGGATGCAGCCGAAACAGCAAAAGATAGACCAGGGATCGAGCCCTGGTGATGTCCGTAACACTGACGCTTTGGTGGAGAAGATCGTTGGACATTGTTGGGATAGACTATTGCCAGCTATCTCGAGCTATTCTTCTTGTCTTCGCCCTTCTTTCTCCTTCCACCTTCGTCTCTTCCCACCTCCATCGTTTGTGGGTCTCTTCCCCATGTGTGTGCGAGCAAGGAGGGACCTTCTGTCCATGTATGTATGCCCTCCTTGCCCTTCTACATGTGTGCTGATGCTTGTGTATGTTGAGTTCTGAGTCTGCCGAGTCAGATCATGATTTGAGACTTCCGCTATGCAACATTACTTATATTGTCTTGATTGTGATTCACACTGTCCCTTTGATTGATCGCATTGCTGGTCTTTGAGTCTTTCATTCACATTGGTGGTCTTTGGAGTCTGCGCACTGCCTATCTACTGATAGGCATGCATCATGCTCTCTCTTCCCAATGTCAGGAGGAGCGATTGCCAGCCCCTCGAGGAGAAAAAGTCCCGCACAGCCAAATCTTTCGCATCCAACCTCACACCATCTCTTTCCCTATCCAAACGTTACACAAGTACCGCACGTTTTCCGCAAGCCTGTATAGCCCGCAGATGCCCCTACATTTGTACAGTAGACGTAATTCATCAAAGAGAAGAACGACACCTCATTCTCTGATACACTTGCAAAGAACATCCAGGTGGCAGGCTCAGCAACAGAAGACATAACAAAGCCCCCCCTCTTTCACAAAACAGATCCACACAGTCAGAGTTACAGAATCTTATGGTAGTATCCATCAGAAACATTGATGCCATGTCAACAATGCCGGTGAAGGTGGAGAGGAATAAGGCATCGAAGCAGGTGATGCAAGGATGTATGGCAATAATAACAATCATAAAGGACAGCCACTTTCTGCTCACCTCGTCGCTTCCACGACTTGGAAGGAGAAGCATCTGACAATGTCCGTTCTGGTGACAGCCCATCAAAAGTCGTGAAAGAAGACAGTGGCAAGGGGCAAGATCTCGAGCAAGGCGAAGCTGCTTCTGAGCCCTGTGACACGTGACCCAAACTGAGCCCTCCTGCCACGGCACGCATGGAGCCTGCCAACACAGCCATTTTCGCTCCCCTTTCCTCTCCTTTGTCTACCTGGTTTTGACTTCTCCTTCACACACTGCGCCTGAGTTCAATCCAACACACACACACAATTAGAAGAGGACCTTCCACAGACATACTCTATCTGCCTCAGCAAACAAACCCACACCACACAATGCACAATCCACTCATGTCAGAAAGACCCAAGCACTTGTTTCCTGGCCTCACAGATGTGTAATGTCACCTCCTGACAAGTCCATGACAGCTATGATGGAATTTTTTAATTTTTTTTAATTTTTTTCTAATTTGGACCATTTCTTGATTTATGCGTGTCATCCTTGCGCAGGGGCCATGCTAATCTTCTGTGTATCGTTCCAATTTTAACAGATGTCCCAAGGACATTGTGGAAATTTTGACCATACAGCCATTTCTCTCATCTTCCCAGAGCATAGCAATGGAGCGGAAAGCTCAGAAGAAGTAGCTGGACACATCACTGAAACCAACCTCACAAATGATTCAACAAACAGACCCTACTACAACATTCTGCGATCAGCAAAAGAAGAGCCAAGAGATTGGCGGCAGGCAATGGGGTTCCAAGCGCCTTCAGATCGGAGCAAGGTTGAATGACTACTCCGTCAACGAGTCCATGGCCAAATTCTTCTTCGCCAAAATAAGAGCCAATGCAAGGAACAATACGGTAGAAGGATTGCACAACCCAGCAGACCAGTCGCCAGCTAGAGACCAAGGAGCAGCGATACCTTCTTCACCTGAAAATAATGCCCGGGCGTTGTATACAAATATAACACCCGGCTGCCCCGGCCGGCAGGCATTATATTCGTTTATAACACCCCGGCGTTACATTCAGTAAATTGGTAGCAACTTCAGTTAGACCACAAAATTATAACAAAAGTTCAGTGGTTAGAGCACCGGTTGGAAATGCGCACTGTGGTATGAGGTTGCGGGTTCAAAACTCCGCAGCCTTGCGCATGGACACCGGCAGGGCGTTAGAATGACGCATGGCTGGACACACACGCATGGTAAGCTATTACAGACGCTGCCTGGGCACCACCCAAGGGTTGTCCACAGTGTTGTATGTCGGGTATTGATACTGCGTGGGTTGCTTGTCGCTGTTGCTCGCAGTTGTTCTGTTGATCTCCCCAGACTGGCATATCACACACAGGTGCCATTTGCGATTGTTGCTCAAATGGTAGAGTCTTCAGGTCACATGTCATAGATCATGGGTTCGAGTCTGGTTTGGGACTTTGGGGGGGTTCTTGTCCAGCTTGGCCCGTCATCTCTTCAACAAACACATGATTCTCTCTACATAGTACTGCACATATCTGGCCTTCGGGCACATACATCTCGCTATACAGTTACACAGAGCACACATAGCCTTCGGGCAGATACAAACATGGCTCATGAGCATATACACATAGCCTACGGGCTCATACAAACATACATAGCCTCTGGGCACACATATACACACAACTATGATACCGGGCTGAGGGGGTCTATCAGGTACATGACGGGGTCTACCCACGCATGGCTTAGCTCTAGGGTAGGGTAGAGATATAAGTCGCTCCGGCTAGTCTGAGTTCCGCCTAGCCTTGGGTAAGTTAGGGGAAGGACGGTAGGATGTGTCCGTGGGCGCCGGCTTGCCTTGCTTAGGTACTCCTGCTGGGTAGACTCTCTGAATTGGGCCTGTAGAGGATTGAATGATCCTGGCGTCCGAAGTTCCCATACGGCAAGGTTTGTCTGCTTCCGCTTCCACTAGGGCGGGGGGGTGTTGGCCCAGCCTTGGTGCTTGTCACTGCTGTCGGGTCCAAGTTACCCTCGATACTGGTAGGGTGATGGTCCTGAGTGCTGGTCACACTGAGGTAGGATAGTAGTGACAGGGGGTGCGCTGGGAGTATTAACGTGGGGATGGGTAGAGTAGGTGACCTATCCTGTCAGGACAACCATTGGCTGCCGGTGCCAGCAATCACCGTGGGTCTGGTCCTTGGCCTCTACAACACCCTGGGCTTTCTTGAAAAAAAAAAAAAAAAAAAAAAAAAAAGTTCTGCAAAAAGAGAACGTTGTGTGAAATTGCAATGCAGACAACTTTGAGCTGAGGGTCGCTTCAGAATTCCTTATTAATTCAAAAATTCAAAAAACAAAATAAAGCACACCCGTTTGAAGTTAACACATCTTTCAACCCCCTTTAAACACCATGTATATGCCTCCCCCCACGACACACACACAAGACATTCTACCCATGCCACACTCGAATACGGTGCGTGGGTGTTCAATTCAAATACAACGCCTGGGTGTTCTATTACAAATAGGAGTTAGGTGAGTTTGGCAAAACCAGGCAACTCTGGCAATAGATCAGATGCGAAGCGTCTGCTCTGGCGATCGAAGTGCATTATATTAAAAAAAAGCGAGTAAAAAATAAAAACTTGACTTCTCTACAGAATGTCGAGTAAAACGGTCGGGCCTAATTTTCGGGTGAAGACGGTAGTAGGGATGACAAGAGAATTCTAGGCCAACCTATGTGAAACCAAAATAGCCTCCCCCTCTCTGTCGCAGGTGATCACAGCCCGTCAGTGGGCGATGTCTTTACCTTGACAAAACAGTTAACCCGAAAAATCATCTCCCTCAAGGAACTGCATGAAGCTCTAGCACAAATGGGCAATGAGAAAGCACCAGGAATTGGCTGCCTATTGACTAACCAAGGAAATTTGGGCTCATTTTTGGCCAGCCCTAGGAGAAGACCACCTTCCATTTGCCCGGATTCTTCGTTCTATGGCCGTCCATACGCACAATCACAGTCGGAAATAAAGGATTTGGTCTGGTGGGACCTCACCCCAGGAGGTGGTGACGGACAAGTTTACCTGTATGGGGTGAATACTGGTAGGCGCTTGCTGGAAGAAAAACAAAGCTAGGCAGAGGACGACGAACGAGAACCTGAAACGAGGGGTCAGCTACATCACGCTGACTCGCACGACCGCTGGGAACGAGAACTGTGATCAGGGTGCAGATTATTGACTTACCACAAGGGCGCGGGGGCGCCCGGAAGTGTGTAGCAGACGTGAGGCACAGAAGGCGGGGGGTTGTATGAGGCCAAGGGCCCAGTCGCAGTTCAGATAATGGACCAATAGTAGCTAAAGGGGGCCCAGCAGTAGTGATGGCCCAATAGTATCTAAGGGGAGGCCCTTTTTTTTTTCTTTTTTTTTAACAAAGCAACCCCCACCAGTGCTAGTGCTGCTGATTCAACAGTCACCACTAGCACCTAGAGGGAGGCTCCATCTATTGGCGGGGAGCGTCACCCGCTGGAAAACGGGTCCAGCGTCCCTTAAACAGCAAATTATACAGAAGAAATTGGGAACCGTGATTATGAGGCCTGCCAGCATTGATTACCCTGTATCTCAGGGGATTGACTGAGCAGGTATATCTGTTGTGTTTAGTTGTCCTTCGTATCTCTTCACCCCCCCGGAGGAGGGCGCCAGAAGAAACATTAAGCACTGATACAACAATCTAAGGCTTGATGTCATGATTAGCGGGAAACCTTCCCCAGGGGGCACCGGGGAGGGTTCCTCTAACTGCAGTACCAAACAGTTCAAGGCAATTAATTCAAGACAGTTCAAGACAGTTCGAGACAGGTTCAGACAGGTTCAGAACATATTTAAGATAAGATTTCAGTCAGTGACAGGACATGGGGCGGGAAGGGGTCTGGGAAATCTGCAGCAGGGCGTAGCGGGAATGAGGGCTCTATGTTAGTCCAATCGTTAAAAACCAATTTATAGTCTCTCATCTCTTCTAGATCCTGTGTCCCTTCTTTTCTGTCGCTGCCCACTCCACCTTCACTATCCAACCTTCCCTTTCACCCCCTATCCAGTCTGTACAAAAAATTGTGATCCGTCTCCTGATGTCTCCTATTTGCTTAAGAAGATATAGCTGTGACCTTGTGTCTGACCATCTCTGTGTGAGTTCCAGCTGGATTTGATGTTGAATCTGTTCCTCAATCTCTGGCCCCTCCACCCTTACTTTTTCCATGGCCAGAGTGCATCTTTGCCACCAAAGTGCCCATATCACCGCCCTTCTACCTAGTCTGTACATGTTCTCTACGAAGGTTGTGGCTGTTGCTGCGAGCTGCCAATGGCCCGCCAGTATAGCCTGCCATGTCCAGGGCCAGGGTGTATCTGGAACCATTTTCCGCCAGATGCGGTCCCACCATGTCCATGTGAACTGCGTAATCAGACATTGCATAAAAATGTGCTCAATGGTCTCCGCCTTTTTATAGAAGGGGAAAAGGTTCTAACATCGCTGGCACCATGGGAGCAGTAGTCCCCTTTGCTCGAGGTTTGTGCGATCTGTCAACCAGTCATTTGTTGGCAGGCAGCGGTGAGCTATCTGCCACTGTAGGGAGGTAATTTTCATAGGCCTTGATTTTTGTTCCTTAAACCATTTGATTGGTGAAAGGAGGGAACGGTCCACGTTCAAGTGTCTAGCCCATCTATCGTTTATCACATCTATTTAATGCCTTTGGGGTCTAAGCATCCTGTAGGCAGCTTTGACCGATATCCGGTATAGGCTAGTATGGCCTGTTCTCGTCACTCCTCTCTTCTGAGCATGCTGCCAGATCCATTCTGCCGGATCAAAAGGTAGGTCTTGGATTGGTCTTTCTGGATGGAACACCACCCTTTGTCCCTTCTCTTCTAGAACCCTTATTCTCTGAAGTGTTGTTTTTCTCTCCATTCGAAAAGGTGTCCTGCTCTCCTGGAGGATGCCTGATTTGGCAATGGCATAGTCTTCGACCAAGACTAATTGAGGTGAGACCATGTGGATTAGGCCTATACTCAGCGGGGTCTCTGTGCTTGCTACCCAATCTCCCTCCTTCAGAGTGGGGCCTCGTTCAAGGATTCGGTATCATTCTAGCGGAATGATTTCAATGATGTTCTCTAATGACTCCTCCGCGTGGTGACAGTACCTTAGGATGCCTCGCAATTGGTCCCCTGTTTTCCAATTCTGTTTGTCCTTGTCCCATAGGTCCCCTACTCTGAGTATTTCATTCTTTACCCAACTTTTCCAGGGCGGGGATGAACT